ATGAGAATCAACATTTAGGATGCTGCTGCAGAACCCGTATGTTGGTTGGTGGCACTTGGACACTGGAGAGAGGCTGAGATGGAGCTGGGGTTAAAGGCCTAGAGCAGTTTCCAGCCTGCCTCCTCCATTGCCACCCTTTTTTCTTGAGGACAAAATAACTATAAAGGGAGAGGGGCTGCGCCACCTGTTTGGCTTCTGGAGGGAGTAGTTTGAGTTGGTTCCTCTTACAGGACTAGTTAGCTGAGGAACCTGGCACCCTTTATGTAGCTCCGTGACAACTCTTAGGATAACTGAAGGGAATCAGGACTCGATTTCACAAGAAATTATTAGGCTCTACTTTAAAAGAGTATCATTTTATATTTCCATGAGGCTCATAGGAATTACTAGCAAAGAAATAAATTAGCCACTGGTGATTGGCCTGTGGTCAATTTCTTTGGTGTATTTGATAAGCAAACTTTTACTTGAATATAGCCTCTTCCCCCTATTACAATTTAAATTTTCCCCAAAAGCAAGTCAGCTACAATTCAACTTTCATCTCAAAATCAGAAACAACAGCACCTATCTTGGTATTTTATATTATAAGCAGAGGTATGTTTCATAGCCAAATCACACATCTCCTTCATTTTACACACAAGAAAATTCCAGAGAAATTGAGTAGCTTGGCTAGCTCTTCATGGTTAAAAATGTGGGTCCATGGTTTACATAGGAAGGTAGTTATTGCCTCGTACTTACTGAAAGTCAAGCAGAACCTCATTTAATCCTTAAAAGGTAGGTATTAGTCAACCACCACTACCATTTATTGAGTCATTAGTGCTAAGCATTTTAGAATGTAATCTGTAACTGCCTTATCAACCCTCTAATGTGAACATAATTATCCTTATTTTACAGAGGAGAGAACTAAGGTACCAAGGTATTTTTATTTTTAAATAGAGAGTAGCCAGAAATTTCCATCTAGGGCTACTTCTCATATCCAAACTTGTGTCCTTTTTACTTATAAGAGATTTTTGAATTATAAGTCATAATGGTGAATGTAAATTCAATTTGGTAGATTCACCAATATTAATTAATTAATTAATAAGAAGCAGAATGAAAATGAATAGCATAATTTTAAAATAGATATATTACATCAGTTACAATATAACTGAAAAAGGTTTCCATATCTGTGGCATGTGTGCTGCCTGTGGGCTGTGGTCAGACTTTGGAAGCCACTGCACTACAACACAACTAATCTGAGACTTAACAAAAATGGATGTACAGGGCAGCTACCTCACAGCAGGCTCTTATTAAAGTGGTTCCAGATTACTGAGGACCTTTCCACGGTACCCAAGTTATAGTCCATCAGACTTGATTGGCAGAGGAGTCTCCTTTTGCTCCACCCGGACTGTCTGACATGTGGTAACAACACGGAGTGATACTGTTGAGTCTAGGCCAAGGCATTTCTGTAAGCCCAAGAGGGTGTCTCAAGTGTACAAATCCCATAAATTGGAGATGTGTCATCATTCAGTGTACAAGGTGAGGAAGTCAAGATCTATGCCTTGAGTCACTGTTACAAAGTGTTCATCACTAGGTTATTATGAAACAAAAGACTCTACAGTCCACCCCACAAACAATAGATCATTGGAGTGGGAAAGAGCACAGTTCACTGTATAATTAGAAGCAAGTTTTACAGTGAGAGAAAGGTTTGTCAATAGCATTGGTTACTCCTCTGAAAGCCCTGTATTACATGGTCGGTATGCAAAGATGAATAAGACTGGTGTTCAAAGTCCAGTGGGTAATTCAGACACAGGAACATCATAGATGTGGATCTAGAAAGGAATATAGTATAACTTTAACTGCCATATTAACTGGTTAAATTTTTATAAAAAGTATGAAGAAAGAGCTTGGATAGTGTGGTAAAAACTTTGGGGTTTTTTTAATCCTGGGACTAGTGTTTACTTCCCTACATTGACTTATAAAAAATATTTTTTAGTCCCTGGTCAGATGTATATAACAACAAACTAAAATTTAGACTCTTAAAAGAATGACATCTTATTGGAATATAAGGTTAACATTTTATTTTAGAGATAAATTGACTAAATCAATACATCTGATATCTGTTTGCTTTCTGGATTTGATACCAGATTGGAAAAGATTATCTACAAAAAATATTAATGACCCACAACTTTCTTTAGTCCAATGGACTTTTTTTATTTGTTCTTTTCCAATATACATGACAGTAGAGTGTATTTTCACATGTTATACATACATGGAGTATAATTTATTCTAATTAGGATCCCATTCTTGTGGTTATCCATGATGGGGAGTTTCACTGGTGGTGTATTCATATATGAACATGGGAAAGTTCTATCGCATTCATTGAACTGTCTTTCCTATTCCCATCCCCTTACTGAACATTTTAAAATCCCTGCTCTGGGTGGCATAACAGATAATAAAACTGCCTCACCTTAACTTCCTTCTATTAGCCCAGGTGCACTGTCAACAACTGGCTGAATAGCCTGTCACTCTCCCCTATTTTACAAGGACACATCCAACATATTCCACCTATTCTTGGGGGAAAGCTCATCTTTTAACTTTCAGTTATCATTTACAAGGAATCTTTTTTATTTCCATTAAATTGGCCTCTACGATACTTTTGTAAGAGGGCCTTTTCTACATCTATATTCCCTTTTACCGAATATAAATAACTCACTGGAACAGAACTGTAACCTGATCTATATAGCTGAAACAATATTTACATAGTATCAGATTAAAATATTTACTGAAAGGAATAAAGAAAGTATAGTATGTCCATACAGTGAAGACTACTTAGCAATAAAACATGGCTATTGATATTGGCAGCACCAGAGATGCATCACCAAAACACTTGCCAGTAAGAGAAGCTGGACTCAAAGGCTAGGTGCTCCAGGATGCCATTCACACAGTGATCTGGAAACGGCAAATCCAGAGGATAGAAGTCTGAGCAGTGGTTGCCAGGGACTGGAAGCAGAGGGAAGAGAGTAGCTACATAGGAACATAAGGGGACCTGAGATTGTGGAGGGTTCACAGCTGGATACACAATTAATTGTCAAATCAATAAATTATACATATTAAAAAGTTAATTTTATGGTATATAACTTAAACCCCAATAACCTAATATTAAAGTAAAAAATTTTTTTTAATTGAAATAAAATGCTTTTCCAGATCTGAGAACATGTATCATCTAATTTTTGTTCACTCACTATTAAAAATTTTGGCCTTGAGTAAATTTTCTATTCTGACTCTTAGGGACTTAATTTGGCCATAAACCAATAGGAAAATAAAGAATTACTTCACATAAATCTTAAAATCTAAAATATCTAAATCTTGGATATTTTGTTATAGAATAACAACATTCTTTTATCTAATTTTTTTTTTCTTTTGTGGTGTTGGAGATCAAATCTGGTTCCTGGTACCTGGAAGGCAAAGAGTCTACCAGTGAGCCACATTCCCAACCCCCAAAAATATTTCTTAGCAATAAAAATCAGTAAGAAGTTCCATAGCATTGTTACTAGGTTTTTAATTTTTAGAGGTAGGTCTTAGGTCTTTGTACCCCTGCCCATCCACACATACATACACACAAAATGTTAGGTTTTCATCAATATTCATTTTCATTAGTCTCTTAGACTATCTTAGTTTGTGTAATATACTTGTCTGAATGGTCCCAATAACAAATGTTAAGAAATTTTTGAAATTAAAAAAGTAATTCAATGAGAAACCTAAGTATGATGAATACAACTTCAAAGACTTAGATCTTCACTTATTAAAAAAATGTCTTATGAAGATGGGCTTTAAAAATTCACCTCCTTATTGATTTTAAAACACCCAGGAAATATAGCACTATATTCTAAGTTAGTACTTAGTACTTTTCAAGCAAACATGAATCTATACTAATAGTGTCTTCTCAGGAATTACATAAGCCTAGCTCTTTTTCATAATAACACTGGGCATTTCTCAAAAAGAGGCAGGACTCAGTTTACTCTAAAGATACAGTGGCACCTGCCTTTAGTCCCAACTAATAGGAAGACTGAGATGAAGGATCACTGGCACTCAGGAGTCCAAGACTATCCTGGGTAACACAGTGAGACTCTTGTCAGAGAGAGAGAGAGAGAGTGAGAGAGAGAGAGAAAGGAAGGAAGAAGAAGAAAGAGAAAACAGTTTTAACAATGAAGTGGATTTGTATACTATTGATAGTAAACAGAGTATCATAAAATTATTAATTAATAAGGAACAAGTAAATAATTAGCCAGTATCATGTACTATAAAAAGCATGTGCACATGCTCTCACTGAATTCTTCCCATGGCTCCCTAGGGCAGATGGTGTATGGGGTCCACGTTCTAGGTGAGGAAATGGAGGCCCCAAGGCCAAGTGAGCTTGCCCAGGATCTCACATCTGGCAAGTGGGGTAGTGGGGCCTCCAACCACTGGCTGGCTTAGGAGCACACACTGGTGATCATTCCTCCGTGCCACCTAAAGATCCCACTGCCCAGGATGATGGTGGGACAAAGTGACTTCCGACCACCAGTCCATGGAGGCCCACAATGGCTTACCTCATCTTTGCCTCTAGCTCATTCTGGCCTTGAGCCGTCATATCTCAATACTTGGATTTCTTATCAAAAGCAAAGACAAAAACAAGGAGATATTGAGTGAAGTGATCCTTTTCCTGTTCCTTCTAGCTCAAACTCTGAATTGTTTATAGGGCACGGAAGAGTGCAATGTGACTAGCCCTTTGCAAGTAAGGAAAAAGGACACCTGCTTTTGAGTATGAGTTTCTGACCTTCCTAAGGGCAGCCTGAAGGGTGAACTGTAACAGATCTGAGTGGCTGGGGAAAACCCAAAAAAGTTAAAGAACTGAAGGAGAATCTGTTCATGCTGCTCATCTAGAAAAACCAAAGCTGAATCAAACACAGAAATTGGGGGGGGAAGAAAAATATAGAGTAAAAGTCTCCTGAAACAAGATCTCACCAAAATTTCTTTCACTTCAGAATGAAGAAATATTTACAAGGAGTCATGATGACAGGAACCCTGAGTTGGAGCAGCTTGACAGAGAAGACCTTTCCCCTCGAAAGTAAGTCAGCAGATCTGGGGGCCGGCTTCTCTTATAGATCTGTGGGGGTGGGAAACCTCTGTTTTAAATCTCATCCCTTATCTTTCCCAGAGAAAGTCACAGCATTTACTATAAGTAGTAACCTTCCTTATGTACTTGAGAACAAAACTCATGCATCTCATAAAAGCAACAAGAGAATTGAAAACATCTTACAAACGAAACTTCCAAGGGTACACTCTTTCAAAAATGGAGTACTAAGTGAATATGAGACGTAAACTAATGTTGATATTGACTGAATTATTGACTTTAACCCTTTTAAAAGCTCTTCATTCTCAAAGGACACAATTTATACAAATCCAATGCTATTTTTTGGTCTTCAAGAAGGTGTTTGCCCACATGTGAAAGCAGCTTAGCCTAAATTAGGGAGGTAAAAACCAGAAGCATAAGGGGAATTTATTAAAAAAATAAAAAATAAAAACCTTCCTACTTAGAATCCCCATCATAACCCCTGTTCTGGCAGTAGTCACATCTTTCTACCCATGTCATTTGACTCATGAGCTGCTTCTGTCCCTGGGGTCTATCGTAGTGATTAGCTTGACAGGCCTATAAAAAATGCCTATGAAATGAATGAGCAAACATCTTTAAGAACTTGCCCCTTGACTAAAGCCATTTATTATTTTCATTCGTTCACTTTAAGATATACTCAAAGAAACAGATGTGGGTTTATTTACTAAATATATCCTTGAGTTACAGTGAATGGCCCAATTCACATTTCTGAAAGTGTTTAGTAGGGTGGTCTCTGAAAAGCACCATTTGATAGTGATGTGTTCTGTTGTTTTCCATTTGTGAGTTTATCTTTTGGGGCTTTTCTATTACCAAAACCCATACCTTCTTTATAATTCTAAAAGTCTAAATGTGTTGTATAAGTTAGTTGATTATTGTATTATTTTACAGTAGATCACTAAATCATACTACTATTGACAAAGGAAAAATTTATAGCATGTAACTAATGAAACAAAAATGTTCTTGCAAAAAACTTTGAAAAAATGAAAATCTAATCCATCAATAAATCAGGAGACAGGAGAATCTATGAGATTAGCTTTTGTTCTACCATCCTAAATACCTTAAGATCATCAGTCTTTGTTATAACAGTTTAATGTGTATTTCTTATTTATCCCTAAGTTTGGACTTGAGTTTTGATATATAACTAATATGAATTTGTTGGCACTACAGTTGATATTACAGTATGCTTGACGTAGAGAGGCATTTAGACATTTTTGGATAAAGTATCAACTTTTAATTAGTATTAGTAAAATTTTATACCAGATAGTGCCCATTAATAATCTCTTCACAGTTTAATAATTAATCTCTTCACAGTTTGAAGGCTTATAGAATAACATTGCCTTATTTTATTTGGAGAAAGGTGATTTTTGAACACTATGTGCTAGGATATGCTGAGCTCCCACCTTCAGAACTTATATTATAGCTAGGAGAAAACATATGGAACAATTAGTAGATAATATAATAATATATGTGTTGAAGTATAAATTTGAGGAGGGTAGGAGATGTTTGAAGAAGTGAAGGTGGGGTTGGATTTCCAAGATCTCAACCAGTGCAGAAGAAATGGTGTTCCTGGCAAAAAAAAAAAAAAAAAAGCCAACATAGACAGGGCACAATGAGATTTATGATGCATAAAGGTGGCAGTGGGAAAAATCAAGCCCCAGAAGATGAAGGAAAGGAAGGTCACAGAGGGCCTCAAAAACCAGATAGAAGAGTTTGCATCCGATGCTGGAGGCAGTATGGAGGCTTACAAAGGAATACTATAAGGCTAGCTGTGTTGAAGCCTTGTCCTGCTGCAGAATGAAGAACCTACTGGGTTAGGCAAACATGGACCACTCCTCTGTTAGAACAGAAAGGATAACCCTGCATCCAGAGTTCTCTGGTCCCATTCTCATTGCAGCTATGGTGTCCAAGTAGTCTCCAAATATAGGGCAAGTTAATTAACTCTTCTAAGTAATCAATGTTCACTTTAGTCCTGGCCACAAACATCCTAACCATTCCTTGCATGTTCTACTACAACTGAGTAATTCAGATGCTTCCAAGTTTTAAAAAATACATAGACTGGATTACCTTTTATACTACACTAAGAATTGAACAGCAACCAGGTGAAAGACAGATGAGTGCTTCCTATATGCAAATACACCAAAGCACAAAACACTCCAGCTTAGGCACAAACATTCCTGATGGTAAGAGATGAGGGCAGACTTCAGATCTACTTTCCGGCAGCTAATGAACAGTATCACATAAAAGGAAAATATAACCTTTTCAAATGGTTTTTAAGGCACTATGGCTGCAGGTTATTATGTGATCCCTTCCTGAAAAAATTATTAGAAAAGCACATTCCCCTACCTAGACATTGCATCCTGTCCTTTAACGAAGCCATGCTAGGTGGTTCCATAAACCAGAGGACTCCTGGGTACAACAGCAAGCCTGAATGGGAAGAGGACTACGATGGCACAATCATGCCTCTCTGCCATGAAACAGGAGCTGATCATGTAAACAAATGGTGTCCACACCAGAGTCTAAACACACACCTGCTGACAATTTTTAAGTTGTTTATTGGATATCTTAGGTTTTTTTTTAACCCACTAATTATTTTGCTGTACAAGAGCAAAACTCATAAATATTAACATTTTGGTATAAAATTAATAATATGGAAAAAAGATGCAAACCAGTAAGAGGTAAAAAGTTTTTAACAGTAACACTGTGTACAAACATCTTTTACTCAAGTGACCATCCACACTAATAGTTTATTTTCCCTTTGTTGACATTAAAAAAAAAAAAAAACCCTGCATTGGAGCACCATGAAGTTTTTGTTTTTGTTTTTGTTTTCCCTTCCTTTTTAAAAGGTTAAAACACTTCTATTTACGAATATTCTCCTCAGTACTTGAAGTCTGATGAAGGAATCATCAGGCAGCTTCCTTCTTCTAAAACAAAGAAAGTACCTTCATATTTCCTTAAAATTTAAACCTGTTCCATTCTATTCTAAGCAAAAAAAAAAGAAAGAAAGAAAGATAAACACAGTTCCAGAGAGCTCTTTCAACAAATAAATAACCGTTTCACAAAAGTGTTGCTGTAAACAAGATCACTTCGATGGCCAGAGAGATGCTGAGGTTTTCAACCAATGGCAAATTTTAATAGTTCCTAGAATAGAAAGACACACAGGGTATATATGGCCCAAAGGCAAACAGTCATTAAAGAATCAACTAATAAAAGTTACTCATAAACTTGCTTTGTCAAAATGTGCTTTTGTTCTCTACCATTTTTAAAATTGGTCAGAAATTTGAAACTGTAATGATCTAAGATTCTGAGTCTATTCTAAATACAGTGACTACAACCTACAATGTTTGACACTAGTGTAATTACCTAAGCAATGTAAACAAGCCTCAAATTTTCAAAATATGAGAAAAAATTAACAAAAAATTCCTGTAAACATTAAAAATCTACCTGCTACAAATTATAAATATCATCATCCAGTTGTCTATACTGAGAAATCTTTTAGTTTTGTTTTGCATGTTTCAGAAATCATCTTATCCCATGAGACATCTGAGTTGTCCCCATCAGGTTTCTCTGCAGCTAAAGGTTTTATAATCAGTTTAACTATTTTTGCTGAAATCACTATTTTAGCCTTCATATAATCTCCCTGGTAATGCACATAACCTAATTCTGTAGCGAGGGGAGGTTGTTTGCTTCATGGCCACAATTTTATCCTGCTTTGTAAAATATATGTAACTTACTTTACCACATCTCTGATCACAAAGGAACCTGGAGCTTTACAAACACTTTCAATCTAATCTGGCAACTCTCTATTATCACTTTTACTCTGCTTTCAAGTTTAAAATATTTTAAAAATAAAGCTCATGTCTAATAGTTATTTGATCAAATAGATTATTGTAGATAACGAAAGCTTTAATTTGACATTTAATACTCTCAATTTAAAATTGACTCTGAACTTGGAACAAAATAATGTGGTTTCTGAGACCTTGCTGGGAAGAGGTGGGTTATATTTAAAAATCAGTACAAGGATTTACAAACTAAGATTTATTTTATAAATCGGAGAGAAAGGAGGCTTTTTGTTTTGCAGTGCTGGGGATCAAACCCAGGGCTACACGCAAGCTACAAGAGCTCTTCTACTGAGCTCCACCCCAGCCCTATTTTTCTTTTTGAAGTCTCCTCCAGTAATATATTCACCTATGCAAAAAAACACTTAAATAACTACCCTAAACAATGTTGAATACTTAAAAACCAGTTTGAAAATTCATTAAATCAGCCTATTGGAACTGACGATCATTTCTCCCTAAATTAGCACCCTATAATCAAACATGAGAATGCCCATGTTTTGTGCCATTCTCTAATATTAGGGGGAAAGGAAAAAGAAATGAAGTACCAGTTAGGGCAGAGCCAATGATTTTGATTCTCAAAGTTCACATTAAACTTTGAGAAAAAGATATTTAAAATGATGCCAACGATATCTAGGCAAATAGCTATATGGATATTACCATTAGGTGATTCAGCTGTTTTTAATGAAACAGTAGACATCATCCTACACCTTTTAAGAACAAGAGACTCTTTGCCAGATTCATGTACTTTCTCCCATTCCAACCCTTCCCTGCCCCACTGCCTCTGCCAAGTGGTGGAGCAGGGAACAGAAATAAACTAGAATACCCGATCTAACAATATATTGATGTCTCTAAAAAGTTGTTATTCTAATACCAAGGTTCACAATTCACACCTCCAATATACATGTGGCATTAAATGAGAAGGTGAATTTCTCATTCGTTTTGTTTCTATTCATGATATAACCCTTTTGTAAATATGAACTCCTTGAAATGAATTTAGGCTATGAAGCAGATAAGTGATATTGAATGGCTTCTATAATCAAAGAAACATTCTGATAGACTGGGCTTTCAAAATATTTCTTTGACTTTCATATTCATTTACTCTGCATTCAGACAAACATT